AGAGGCAAGGAAATGAAAGAGCCTGGGCGAACTGAATAATACACACTTTTTCATTGACTACCCACCGTGTTCCAGGTCCTTTCTATACATTGTCTCTCATCCTCATAATAACTTTGAAAGGAGCTATAGTTTATTCCTGTTTTATAGTTGAAGAACTGATGCTGAGCCATTAGGTGACCTGCCCAAGGCCACACAGAGCTAGAATTTTATCTTGTGGCCTGAGGATTCCCTCATCTGCCCTCTGCCCCCTATATCACCCTGTTTCATAAGAGTAATGAACTACAATGCTTTATCACGTTTCTAATAAGCAAAAATAAGAATTGAAAATAAGACTATACATAGAGATTTAAAACACATTATCTTCATGCACTTCTCCCTCCTTACCCTCCCCGTACGTGTACACCTTTAAATATAGCAAAGGAGGGAGAGTAATGTCAGGAAGTGGGTAGAAAAGAAAGCAATGAGGACACCAAAGGAAAAACCCTTGCCTCTCTTTTCTCTTCATTGATTTCTTTGTGATTGGTTGAGTTCATTAGGAGTCATAGGCTCCAAGACTTTTAGAGTTCAAAGTGGTCTTGGAGACCATCCAAAATAACTCCTTCATTTTACCAATGAGGAAGCTGCAACTCAGAGAATAAAATGACTTGTCCAAAATATATAGATTTAATTGCTGCCCAACCTGAGTGAGTAGGTTGAATTAACACTCCTAAGATGCTTTTTGACCAGCAAAATACTGCCAAACCATCTGCAAGCCCTGGAGGGTTCCAGCATCCCAGAGTGAGAGTCATTCCGGGCTGGAGGGGTAATCACTAAGACAGGTATGAGCTGCTGGGGCCCAAAGCTTACCCCTCTGGGGACTCAAGAGGGATCTAGATGGCCCTAAAATATCTTAGATGTGAGAGTGAGTGTGTTTTAAATGAATGCATGAAAAACAAATCCACAGAATGTAGGGCACCAACTTCTAACAGGCCCACTGAAACATTCTAATCAGTACAGCCTCAGAGGGTTCAAATGCCAAAATAAGGCACTGTTTCCTTATAATTAAAAAATATATATATATACACACACATACACACACACACACACATATGATCAGTGATGCAATGATAAGCATGAGTATTCATTCCCGTAGCGACTCCTATCACTAGCTTTCATGTTAAGTAGATTACAAATATTGTAGAATTAGTGTAGAGTATTAAGATAAACTAAGAGTGTTAGGGAAAATGGAAGGAAGACAAACACAGATATTTTACTATCTCGGTATTGGCATTAATGTGTTTTTTAACATGATGTAACAATATTTGGCTCCTGGGCAGTTGTTTTTTTTAGTTAATACCGTATTTATCAGGAGTTCAGCTTCTTCCCACCTGATCAGCAGCACCCCACCTCCCTGGGATCTAGGAAGGAGCTAATGTACGCTGAAACCAAATTTGATGCTTAGAAAATCCTTGAGCTGGTGAATGGCACACCTGTGTTGTTTGGCAGGCAAGTTGAATCTCAAGTAAAGAATTTCTGCAAATCTCCTGTTCAGTCAGCTAAACTGGTTTCACTGCTATTGAATAAGCCCGGGGTGAGAGAATCCTCTATTTTTCCTTAATAATCATAATGATGCCACAAAATAACTTCCAACGCTAATCTCAGTGGCTTACATGTCAAAAGTGGAAAGGTTCAGAATATATTTCAGGACATTAAACGTCTTCATGTCAAATTTATAGATAAATTAGTAGTTTTCATATTGGAAAAAAATCTACAGTTTTTTGTAAAGACCAAATTATTGTTAATTAAGATGTAACTTTGAATGATTTGGAGAAATAACTTTCTAGCTGTATTTCCTTTTATATTTAAATTAAGAATAGTTTGTTATGAATCGTTAAATAAAAATTTCAGGGAACTGAATCCTAAAGAAAATAAGGAAGCGTTTATCAGTTGAAAGGTACTCTGTAAATCGGCTTGCAGATTAACTGCAAAGGTTATTTGGGACTTTATAATCTGAAAGTGAAAGAGGCCGTTTATCCATTATTTCTTTTTAAAAAATCTTCTGTATAGGGTCCTTTTTCCTTTTCTGGTCATTCTTATGTTGGATTACTTGGTGATGGGTACTATACTTAGGTTTTTTCTGAGTAAACTGGTTTTCAAAAGCTTAAGATATAAGACCTTCTAAAATAAATGCTTGATTCATTACATAATATCCTTTAGGTATTAAAGAAAGGTAACGTTTTTCATCCTTTGATCAGGCATGTGTGGGCTCTAAAATGTAACTCTGTAACGTAAATATACAGTATGCCGGGGAAGCAAAAGAAAAGAGTTTTTAGGGTTGTCTAACCTCACAGAAGGGACAAAGGATTAAAGTAAAAGAAAGTTAATCAGTCCACAGGCATGACGACCCTAGTCTGTTTCAGCTGGCAGAGGAACTAATAGAGCTGCCAGCAGGTCTTAATTTATGGATGGCTTGTGGTATTTTCAACCCCTTTTAAGTTGTAATTGTGTGTCACAATCTCTATAGAAAAAGAATATTTTTTCAAAGTTTTCAACCAACGGATTAATATTCTTTCTGTCTATAATACACACCATCTGTTTTACTAAATTAACTGTTTGTACACATACACATGAATCTTAACTGGTCAGAGCTGTGGGCCCCAACCTGGCGGTACATTAGAAGCTTTGCTAAGATCCCTACCAGAGCCAGCCCAGAGATTCCGGCTTAAATGTTTGGTGATGCAGCAGAGAGAGACAGAGAGAACGAGTCTTTCTTGGAGTTCCAAGTTGGAATTCAGAATCTGATTCCTCTGGAAGCCATGTTGCAAGGGTGATCTGGGTTTATGGGTTTTTTAAGTACAATAGGTAGCGCTACATTATCTGTTAAATAAACTTTTGGGAACGGGTCTAAAATACCTAACCGTTCTTCATAGTTCTTTCTGTAAACCAAACAATGTACCTTTGGTTCCAAACAATGAAATTTATAACCAACCTGTTGATACATTAGGAAGCTTGACTCTTCAAGGTCATAATACTACACTTCTTTGTGTCAAAAGCAAGTCAAGATTTTGTCTTGTAAAAAAGAAGAAGAAAAGAAAGAATCAACAATTTTAGTGAGCACCTACCATGAGGAAGACACAAGCAAACAAAGAGACTGCCAAGCACAGCCAGAAAATAAAGCACAAAACCAAAATTTGTGCAATTTTTAATTTTAGGAAACTTCATAGTTTTGGTTCTTGACTTTTTGTCTTTTCTGAATAGTAAATTGGATCAGAAATAGGCAGATTGTTCAGAAAGGAATATGGCATAGAAATAAAAGTGGAAGTACGCCGGTGGGCAAGAAACCAGATGATAAAAGCACTTCAACTAAGGGAAATCATGCAAAAGAAGAGAGGACACCTTGTGGTCAATACTCCAAGGTGACTGATTTGAATAGCAGGGAGGATGAGAAGGATGATGTTAGGTAGGTGCTTCCCAAACTGTTTTTAAGTTTGGCCCACCAGAGAAGCCAACAGGACACACAGGATAAGCGGGGACCGAGAGCAGTACAGCAGTGTAACCATGTTTGCATCCCACCGGGCAAACCGTCTTCACCCTATTCCCATTTGAACAAGCCACGAGATGGCCAAGCACACACAAACTTGCCTCCCAAGGAGTCTGATCTGCCCAAGAGTAGGACTTAATCTGTGCTGTCTCCACGCAGACAGGCATTTGGGTGGAAGTTCAAGAGAGACAGAATTGGGCTCAATATAAAGAAGAACTTGCTAAAAATTCTAAAACCAACACCAGAACAGACGCCTTGTCACGCGCTGAACTCATGGCCCTTAAGTTTAGAGCATGAACTGCATATTATCTCTAGAAATGGACAGGATAATTGTGTTGCGTGTGCATGGTGTCCTAATGGTCTCCAAGTGTCTATCTAAATCTCAGTTTTGAGGATTCTGTAGTCCAATCTCCTCTTTTCTCCATAGACATCTAATCACCTCTGATTTCATTCTGTACCCATTTGACTAAAAAAAGAAAAGTGACAACGAGGAATTCAGAAATTCTCCACAATGAACCAAAATGTCCCTGCATAAAGATTGTGAGACAGAGGGTTAGCAACTAGCTTTATTGTAGCGGACTGACTTCTAGGTTTTAGACCTTTGGTTACTTTTGGCAAGAAGTGAATCCTGAAAGCTCATAGAACAGTAAGAACTTTAAATGGATAAATAATAAGCCCATAATAAAGCTAGTGTCTTTGTTCTCTCATTTATGCCCAGATTTGTAACCCCAGGAGCCAAAAGTACACTCTGATCTTTATGTTTACCTTGAGACAGCAGTGAAGGAATGAATAAGTTTATTCTTCAATTAGGGAAAAGGTGGAGGTGGTAAAAAAAAAAAAGTAAAACAAGACACAGAGCAGTTTCCACTGTGACAGAACCATCAGTTCATGGAATAGCCTCACAGACCTGGGAGACAGGAAAAATGTCTCAAATGCGTGTCCTATGCACTTACGTACGTTAGTACCAGCAGGCCAGCACTGTGGCTGGAAGGTTCAAGACCGAGCTTGTAATGAAGCCTCCGATGGAGCCGCTCCATATGCTGCTGTCTTGAATCTAGGCCTGTGCCGCGCACCTCTTCACGATGACTTTCCCAATACCACGGGGCCAAAAACAACTGCAGAATTTTAGGGCAAGGCCGATTTCCCAGCACAGAACTGCAGTGGTCCCTCCTTGACAAGCCGAACGGGGTCACCCAAAGGAGCGTGGCACGAAAACCTTTAGAATTCAGCAAGGCGAGAGCTGCGTTACCAGGCCGTGTCCTTCCAGGGCACACAAAAGGCTTTTTCTGCTCTGCTTTCACAAGGTCCAGTGGAAGCCAAGCTATGTGCCATGGGTAGGGCTGGGGAGGGGTGGGAGTGGGGGGGCGCAGCAGGTTATCCATATCCGGCTGCCAGTCTGTCCAACAGGACAGCCACCCTCCGCGGGCACTCGGCCCTCGGGATGCGGGGGCGGGGAGAGCGCGAGCCCGCAGTCCTCCCGACCGCGGGCGCCGGACCAGCTGGGTGGAGAGAACCGAGGCGGCGACCGTGACCGCGCCCGCGAGCCTTCTCTGCCCCAAGGGCGCGTGCTCGGGTGGTCCCCTTCCCGGCACGGACTGGCGGTCGGGCGGGACGGGGCGGGGCCGGGGGCGGAGCGGGGCCGCGGGGCCGGGCGCGCGGGGGTCGCGGCGCCGAGTGGGAGTGCGAGCGTGAGCGCGGCTGCAGCCGGCGGCATGGCGAGCGCGGCTTTGGAGATCATCGCCTTCTTGGTCTCCATCTCGGGCTGGGTGCTGGTGTCCTCCACGCTGCCCACCGACTACTGGAAGGTGTCCACCATCGACGGCACGGTCATCACCACCGCCACCTATTGGGCTAACCTGTGGAAGACGTGCGTTACCGACTCCACCGGCGTCTCCAACTGCAAGGACTTCCCCTCCATGCTGGCGCTGGACGGTCTGCATCCTCTCGGCCCCCGCTCTCGGCCCTCGTTCTCCCCGGCCAGCCGGCGGGGGCGCGCGCTCGGCCACACCACCCTCGGCGGGACCCCCGGGCCGGACTCCTCCGAGGCCCGGCCTCGCTCTCTCTCCAGGGCCGGAGGAAGCCAGGGCTACCCGGTGCCCGTAGCTCCCGGACGTCTGTCCCGCGGGAGCACCTGTCCGAGCCGGGGACCCCGGGGGGTGGGGGACACGCAGGCAGGCAGGCCTGGGGCGGGTGGGTGACTCTCGGGCGTCGAGAGTGAAGGGAAGCGGCTTTGCCGTCCCCAGAGTCGAGGGCACGGCTGGGGGACCCCAGTTCCTGGGGGCCTGTTGGGACACGGAGTCACGCAGGGGGCTGTTGTCTCCCCCACCCAGCGCTCTCCGGAAGAGCTGGATTCTGATTAAAGCGGTACAGCTGACTTGTCACAGCGTAATCTGCTTGCTCTCAATTCCCCTTAGCCAGTTCGTTAGTTCTTTTAAAAGTGGGCAGGAGGAAAGGAAACATATTGCAGGGTGTGCTTTATTGTTCCCCCAAGAACGCTTACAAATGTGTCTGCCTCGGCTTTAACGCTTCCTCCAAGTTTTAGGAGAATAAATGGTCCCTGCCTGTGCCGCAGAGGGTAGAGAGTGCTGGCCAGCGAGAGTCCCGTGCGGGAGGCTGACAAGTTCTGGGTCCGTGCCTCCCTTGTCTGCGCTCCAGTCTCCCTCGTGGTGTTCTTTTGTGCGTTGTGTTCTACGTTGTTCTTGTTGATTAGGCTTTATATTGCATTGTGTTATAGCAACAGGTGGATGTTCATTGACTCTGCCTCTAGTTTAAGAGAACAGTAGATGTCAACCCGGCCACAATGATTGCTGAGGTTCTAGGCTCCTTTCTTCCAGGATTTTAGAGCACGTGACTAGATGGATGCTGGCAGAAACTTAAGGAGAGTCATTTACATCATTTCTCGATTTGAGGTGTTTTCTTTCTCTTTTATTACTGAACTGCAAGTTTTTATTTGCATAGCTGAGTAAATAAAAGACAAGATTTAATTTCCCTAAGATGATGCTTGCCACAAAAAACGAACGGTTCCTCAACGTGGTATTTGATGGAACCTCTATAAGGGAATACGTGTCTGGGTTTAGATGGGTGATACCCAGGTCTGTGTCCTGTTGTGTAAAATAAGTAGTTGGGTCGCTGTTGGTTCCCTAGAATTACTGTTCAATTTCCTGTGCTGTGCGGAGCACACATCCAGGTAGATGCTTTGAACAGGCCTGTTCTTGTTTCTGTGGTTTTCATTCAGGAATATGGGATTGACAGTTAGTGTCCTAAGCGTGTTCTTTTGTTGTAACTGTATTGTTGCCTGAGACAGCATGCCAGATACCACACTTCCTTCTGTAGGACAGTTGGGGGACAAGGGAGAAGAGCAAGAAATCAACGCACCGTGAAGAGCATTGGGTTTTGAGTGTAAATAGAAGCCAGGAGGTAAATAAAAGAACCAGAGCTGAAATTCACAGTGTATGCCTGCCCTGCACCACTCTTCTTTCAAAGGATTTGCAAAAAGTATGCAAAACTACTAGCATAAGAAAAGCACTTTTCCTCTTCCAATTCAGCAGCTAGCACGTGTGCTACAAGCGAATTGTCTCCACCAAGTGGCTGTTTTCTTTCTAGCTGGTTTGAAATGGAAAATAAGGTACACATCATTCGGGAAACACAACTTTTAAGGGACACCGTGAAGGTTTCCTCCAACAGAATTCATTAAAGTCGCTGTATTTTACTAATTGGACATTTCACGGTTGAATGAGCTAATGATTTCTGTTTATTGCTAACCCCTGTTCTTTCCAAGCACCACTTGAACTTCCGCTGAGAATCATTTTCAGCCAGGTTGTTTTTAATACATGCCATCTATTTTTGTTAGTGGGAATGTTTGCCATTTCTTCCAAGAGAATTAACTATAAATTATACTTCAGAGAACTTCTAAGTAAATATGTTCATGCCTCAGCACTTTAATGTGTTAATGAGCTATTAACGGTGTCAGTAAATTAGGCCTGTCAAAAATAATGGCCTCCTTGACTAGGTTTTTACTACCACTTCACTTGATGGCGCTACTTATAAGTTTTGCCCTCCGGAACTGTTAAAAAGCAAGGTTGTACCGGTCTACTTTGCAAAAGATAAACTCTGGAAGAGTTTGTTGGAAGTCCCCTAAGGCCTAAGTATGAGGATGTTTTAAGGAGTGATAGCCCCTAATTTACAAACCTCAGGCTTACCAACAATTCGATTCCATTTGCGGGTGGCAGGGGAGTTTATTCCAGGAACCCCAATCCCTGCTCTTTGCTCCCTGTTTCAGAAAACCTAGCCAGTGACTGTGCTGGTAAGATGCCTTCTTTTGTGCATGTGACAAGTTAGCAAGTTACTGCTATTTTTCTCATGTCAGAGAGAGGTGCCTTCCTCTCCAAGTCAGGGTTCTGGGGGGTACTGCAGAGGGACCTAACTGCATCAGAACCTGCTCTGTCCATCTCTCCTCTCGGACCTGTGCCCAGAGACGGGTTCTGAGACGGGAGAACGGGGTGAGAAACTCAGAAAAAACGTTACGAGTAGTGGTTAAATAAAGTTTAAAGACTGCTGTTATTTTCCCAGGAATGTGAAGGATTGAATGCGTCGGCTTGGGATTCTCACCACTGTGAACCATCTGGGAAAATGCATTCCGTGTTCTAAATGATCGGGTTGTAGGATTTAGCCTTTTTCCAGGCTCTTGCATTATCTATCCATAAAACCTATAAGATTACTAAAGTAAATGCAAATTATGGGGCATGATAAGGTTTCCTAAGATAGTTTCTTTTTACACTTATATTATAGAGGTATCATCACACAAACTGCTTTGCCTGCTTAGTGATTACAGTCAGAGTCAGCTAAAACACCTCAAAACCAAAGATTAAGATAAATCTCAAAAAATGATGAAACCACACTGTCCCAGTAGCTTTGCTGGGAAATGATGAGCCAGTTGTGGTTGTCCTGGTAGACTGTCTCTAATCTTGCAAGGAACTAACAGGCTCGTCTCTCTGTCTGTGCTTCTGCCTGCTCCCTGGGTTCTGGCTGGGCGACTTGAGGGTTGAAATTTAGAAGAGACCCGAGTCAGTATTTGGCAGCAGACACCCAGATCGCCCTGCAGCGTGATTACTGCTACCAAAATAAGCCTCTATTATCCTGTTTTGCTAAAAATAAATTTCTCATGTTTTTGGTAGCTTCGCCATCAGTGGAATTCCTTTCTGTCTGGAAATAGTTCACACTATAAAGTGGAAGAACATTGTCATAGCAGTCTGTGTTTGTAGGGGTGCAAATTTGTTTCAATTAAACAGAGCATCGTCTGTGTACTCTTCCGAATGGATCTGAGAAGTAGAGTTAAACCTTAAAGGTTCATTCTTTCCCAAAGAAATGTGGACTGGAGGATACTTGCCAGCATTATTTCCTGAATTTATGATTATCCTAGTCTTAGAATTATTTATCGTAGGCTTTGCCTGAATACTAATAATAAATGACTTGCTATATCTTGGCATTTATGAGTTTTTTCAAATTAAAACGTTTAATCCCAAATGTAAATTTGATGTGCATATATGTTCGTTTGCTTAACAAGTATTTAGTTACACCTAGTATGTACCATCACTATTTCAGATTGAAATAGGGCATTGTTTCAGGCCAAAATGAAAATCACCTTATGTGGTAAAAGTTTGTTTGTTTAAATCCTATTGATTAAAATTTGTTAGAGTCTGGACAAAAGTGTCTGAAGTTTACCATCACCCTGGCTATGCAAATAAAAATATATGACTAAGGAAATGAATGGTACAGGAGGAATGATCAAACAAACCAATCGAACAGGCTTTTAGGGTACTTTGAAAGCTTCTGTTTATATGCAAACAGATTTAAATTAATTTCATAATTATAAAAATTCTTCTAATTATAAAAATTCCACTACCAATGCTTTTTAAAGCCCAATTTTATTATTTGTGCCCTGAAAACAATAAAATGTCATTAAAGTACTACTTGATAAAGACTCCTCATGGTTCATGATGATATTCCAGTTGGTCTCAGCTTTCACTAATATCAGGTTTGATTCTTTGGGAGGCCTTGCTGCCCAATTATAAATTTTATAATGTCAAAACCATTAAAACATCTATTTAAAAGTTCTCAAGTGCAAAGAAGTAAGAGGATTGGGAGAGTGGAAGAGGATGTTTCTCACTGTAAAAGACAGTGTTGCATGGGTTTTGTAGTCAGATCTGGATGAAATCCATTTTTCCCTCCTATTGACTCATCTCTGGCATATTATATAACCTGTGTGTGTCTCAGTTTCCTCATCTGTGAGTATGGGAATAATTACACTCAGAGATCTATCTTGAAGATTGTGCATACACCAAACTTAAAAGTGTGTGGCATAGCACAGGCTCTCCATATAGATGAACTTTCTTGCCTTACCTTGTGTTTTAACCACTATGGTTATTTCTTCAGAAAACAGAACAGTCATTCAGAAGGACAGTGGAAAATGAGGATTTCTCCCTGGACAGCCACATATTTTATTTTGATGTCAATGACTTCTGTAATTGCAGGTTATATCCAGGCATGTAGAGGACTTATGATTGCCGCTGTCAGCCTGGGCTTTTTTGGTTCCATATTTGCCCTCTTTGGAATGAAGTGCACCAAAGTCGGAGGCTCAGATAAAGCCAAAGCAAAAATGGCTTGTTTGGCTGGGATCGTATTCATACTGTCAGGTAAATAGTAACTTTCTTCCAAACAAGATGCTTCACCATGTTCATGAAATAACACTAACCATAGTACTTTCCCTCTGATACTTCTTAGGGCTGTGCTCAATGACAGGTTGTTCACTGTATGCAAACAAAATCACAACGGAATTCTTTGATCCGCTCTTTATTGAACAAAAGTAAGTACTCTCCTCAGTCTGTGTGTTTCTAGCTCGCAGGAAATGTATATACATATTCTAAATTAAGATACATAAGTTTCTTATGTGGCTTATGAAAGTGAGACATACTGATAAATGGTATTTTATGACATCACTCGAGTAAACATTTTATGTGCTACTTTGGCAAAAGATGCATTTAATTACTGCATTTGTGTTACATAGTCTCTTGTCTCTAAATAGCTCAAGGCAAAGGATTTAGAACTCTAAACTTCATCTGAAGTTTACTACAAATTGAAGTCAAGAGGAGGAAAAGTGGAAGAGAGGCGTAAGATGGGGAAGAAGGAGTGATGGAGTGTGACAATAGAAAATTAAAAGCTTACCTTGATGGTTGTCCATCCAAAACAATATTTGCCGGATGCTAGTCTCTGGGCTGATTTTATGAATTAGTCTTTTAAATTTGCTCTGTTAACTACGGCCTTCACAAGCTCCCCCCAGTAAACCTTTATCAAGAAACTGTACATGATGTAGGATTTTTAAAAAATGCTCTAGGAGTGGTGCAGACACCCACATGTGACCGGTCTCGGCTGCAGGTGAATGCTTTGGCATTTACACATCAGCTTGTTTGTTGTTGCTGTTTTTTAACTATGTGCTATTGCTTTTTATAGTTTCTCCAGGCTTTTTTTTTTTGCATTTGGAAAACCCCAGGAATATCAAACTAGAAATAATAACATATCAAATATTTTGCCTTCCCTGAGAATATACCCACATACCTCTGTAGAAGGCCACATGTGTATGCATGTGTATTGCTGTCAACCGGGCTGGTGATTTTCTTTCAGTTTTCAGATCAAATGTTATAGGATTTTTTAAAAGTCGTTACTAAAATAGCAGGTCAGGTGTGCATTATTTTTTTCCAGTGGATTTAAGAATCTTCAGGAAATTGATTTTCTAGTTTTGTCTTTAGTATCTTTTATGCGTAAATAGTAAATGCTTATATAACAAAATATAATGAAAATAATCAGCAGCACATGTTGAGTCCCTACTATGTACCAACCAGAGCACAGCAAATATTGTTTTATTTTATAGTTTATTTTATTCTTACAACAGCCTTATGAAGGAGGTTCTCTTGGTGTACTACCTTTTTTAAAGTTGAGGAAAGAGGTCAAGTAAACTGCCCAAAGGAATTTGGACTAAACTAGCAGGCTGAGTGAACTGGGATTCACACCAGGCACACGTGCTCTAAAAGGCGTGATTCCTAATGTTCTGTTTCACAACTTTTGTGACAATATACTATGTATATTTTTCATCAAGGGAGTTTCTTTTGTACGTTTCAAAAAACTGTTTAAAATTGTATTAAATGGAAAACAAAAATGACTGTTTTAGACCCCAGTGTAACTTTTACTCCCTTGTGAATGTTAAAAAAATGCGTCCTGATTTATGAATTTTCTCCTAACTGGTTTTTGGTAATGAGATTTGCGCAGGTGTAGATGACACCAAAAAGGGAGATGAAAACTGAGACTATGCTCCTGAAGATGAGAAACATTTTATTGATACTTAAATGTAGTATCATTTTTTATTTCAATATTATATTTAAATGATACATTTTTATTTCAGGCTTCAGTATCATAAATATACAACGAAGCTGTATTTTCTCATGGTTTATTTTATTAAAGACATTGCTGACTTTTCTGTATTGTCTTTTCTACATCGCTGTTTTTATTTTCCTGACCATTATTAAGGATGTCTTTGTCGGAATCTTAACAGTCGTTGTCATCTTTCCTCAAAAGGTCCAGGCTAATTTATGTGGGCATAGTAACTTAACCCTGTTCTTTGTGTGATTTTTTTCTGTGCTTGCTGTATGCTCGGTCGCCTAATTCAGTTTAGTATGATTGGAATTTCTTATTCCCCTTTCAGATTTTGGTTAAGCTCCGTTCGATAATGACGGACTCTGAAAGGTGTTCCTCTTTTCCGCATTCCTGGTGCTGTGTTGAACTATTCCATGCCCACTAATAGCCTCCCAGCTTTCCTCTATCTATGCCTGCTCTCTCTCTCTCTGTGTCTCTATTCTCATCTGTAAAATCAGGATAATTATAGTGCCCCTCTGCTAGTTTTGCTGTGAGAATTAAGACTGTGTGTATATATGCTTAGCACTCATTAGAAAAGAGCAAACACCTTGTATAAGCTATTACTGTATTGTATTAGCTATTATTAAGATTGCTTTGTAATTGGTTGTAGTATTTAAGATGTGGCTTATCTTTATAGATGTCTTTATTAGCCCTTTTCTGCGGTGACTTAAAAATATAACATCTGCAATTTAGCTTATTAAAAATATAGCTAGGGGTTATAAATAACAACATGGCTTACAAATTAGTAATATTTACAAATAATAGGCCCTTCACACTAAGGCCTTAAAGAAAATATAGACTTTATTTTTAAAAACCTGCATATTGAGAACATTTAGCTCCTTGAGATCAGAGCCCATTCACACCTGTATCCCCAGCAGTGGCCTGCACAAAGCAAGGCCCTCTATGACTTACATAAAATCCACTTGGATCAAGGAATTATCAAGGCCTGAGAACTGTAAATATGATCAGATTCTAATTACCCACAATAGTAGAAAAGAGGTATGAAAATGACATGTGACATCTATAGGAATTCATAGACTTCATTTAAATAAAACTCACTTCTGTAAAAACCAACAAATCGACTAACTTGACTTCATCTCTTTTCCCTTTATCGACACCTCTAGGGGAGGAGAAAGAGATGAAAATTAGGAAGATTAATAAGCTGCAAATTGGCTATCAACACAAAATAAACAGGTTTCGTGGGTCGTAAAATATCATCTTTTTTTTTTTTTTTTTTTATTAATGTTATGATAGATTACAACCTTGTGAGATTTCAGTTGTACATTTTTGTTAGTCATGTTGTGGGTACACCACTTCCCCCTCCGTACCCTCCCCCCACCCCCCCTTTTCCCTGGTAACCACCGATCAGATCTCCTTCTCAATATACTAATTTCCACCTATGAGTGGAGTCATATAGAGTTCGTCTTTCTCTGACTGACTTATTTCGCTTAACATAATGCCCTCGAGGTCCATCCATGTTGTTGTGAATGGGCCAATTTCGTCTTTTTTTATGGCTGAGTAGTATTCCATTGTGTATATATACCACATCTTCTTTATCCAATCATCAGTTTCTGGGCATGTAGGCGTAAAATATCATCTTTAAAGCAAGATTTTGATTTGGCACATTCTAGGGGATAGCACTTCCTTAGCTGGCATTTCTAGACTTTAGTAATCAGTGCCTCTGATTCAGTTTGTACGTGAACTTAGAGGAATATCTCGGAGAATCAAAGCTAAAGGTGGGGCTAGCCCTAGCAGAGCTGGGACATGGAGGGCGCCACCGTAGGAGGGTTCTGACTTTCTCTGGTGTCATCACTGACCTGCGTGAGAGTAAGTTCTTGAGGTCAGAAAACATCTATTTCATCTGTCTTATTTGCCCAGCATGGTGACTGGTAAGTGAAACTCTTATCTGTAGAGCTAGTCCTTTCAGGGTTAGCGGAAAAGCTTCCTGTTGGCTCAGCAGACTGAGGAAGCCCCCGAGAGGATGGAGATCGAAGCTCACTCTCCTCTTCCCATCCTTATCATAGGTTAATCTTCCCAAAGCTAGCTACTGCCAAGTAACGTCTCTCCCTCCAGCCTTAGAAGGCATGGCTGTGGCACAGGGACGCGTGTGTTGGGCCCTTGGGAAGGGCAGCAAGAGGTGGTTGCTTGCCACACTCTCTGGTTTAGATTTCTGGTGAGCAAATACTTGCTCTTCCACACCCAAGCCCTAAAATGCACTCAAAAACGATTCATTCCTCAGAACCTGGTTTTGTTGCTACTGTTATTTTTCTTAAGAATTCTATACTGTATTAATTGAATCTTCTTTGTAGATTTCTAAGATCTCCCTCTGTATGGCTCACCTTGGTTCCCTAAGTTAGAAACACAGAACTAAGCTCATCCACAAAGTTCCTGCTACATTCCTACTATGTGCAGGGAACTCGGTAGGCGCCTTGTTGATGAGAAAAAAATGAGTGGCTTCCAGTGTTTGGTTGGAGTAAAGATTGTGGCAGTCACACTGCCAACAGTATGGCTCTGTGTTTGGTGACTGTTTATTTTGAAACCCTCCTTTTCCCAACACTTATCTGGGAAGATTTTTCTTCCAAGCTACAATCGTTTGACAGAATGGCAATCTTGAAAGAGTTTCATCTGGCTGTGGTTGTGTTCTGCCATTTCCCTATTTTTTTTCTTTTGTTTTGCTTCCTTGCTTTCATTCAAGTTGAGGTTATGTTTTATGACTCCAGGACGGCTCCTGTAAAGCCTTGAAAACTATTTCTTAACTCTTCCCTTTGGGCTGTTTCAAACCAGCTTCCTCTTTTTTATTAAAACGGAACCTACCAATCCAAAGAAAATCTACCCTCCTGCACGCTGATGCTAACAGACCCCCCTTGGTGTGATTCATCACCAGGGTGCTGAAATTTAATGACAGTACTCCCACCATTGCTTTGTTGTCCAAACCACTAACTTCCTGAATGTCTTGCTTTGTTTTCTTAAATAAACCGTTCCAAGTAAGAATTGATTGACATAAAGAAACTTCTTTTTAAGTCATGCAAAGTTAGAGCGCTAAACCCATTGCCCTAATCGAGGAAACAGGACATTGTGATCTTAGACTTATTCTCTTTTAGTATAGGAGATTTATCAGTCGTGTTTTGGCTCAGCTATTCTCATGTTTGGGGCTTATCATCCTCCAGGCTTTTCCATTTTCCGACTTTTTAAAACCATGGAGTTATTCATCTCTAGCACACTCTTCATTCTTGCAATATATTTATTTTCTACTTTAGGATTTAAGCTTTACTTAGGTAAAATCTTTTCACTATTGTGGCTATATAATAGTTAGAAATAAATAGCTGTCTCCTTTTTGATAAATTATCTCATTTTGTTATCGGTCAAGTTAAATGAACAATAGACAATTCAAGAAGCACA